CCCACCCTCCCATTTCAAAACCTGTATCCAAACAAGCACCTGTGGGATATCGTGTATCACACTGTAGCATCCACCGCCGGCACATCCCACCCACCTGTCCAGGAGCAGACTAATGCCCTGATCCAGGTCTGGGAGGGGAGCCCACCAGAGACCAACTATGGTCTCATCTGGATCATGGTCAGACGTTGTAGGGAATACACACAGACGTGTGGAGGCTGTACGGACTACTGAGCTACAACATGAGATGTCCTGAGGAAATCCACTCTGGGTGGAACAACACATCACAGGAACATTCTATGGATTTGGGTATGATTCTGAATCCAGTCCTTTTGTTTTCTACTGATTACTCTTAGATTGTTCTTTCTCAAAGAATTATATACTGTTTTATTATTATTAAACCTGTCCTTTTTCATTAAGAAAAATAATATAAATACTTTTTTTCATATTAAAAACGTATTAAAAGTTCTACTATTTAAATTTTAATTACATGATGCTTCGCTCAAGTCTGGACCGCTTTATTAATGGTGCCTTCCATTTCAAGACTCACCATATTGAAACACTTACATATAACTTTTTGATTTTACACCACCCATTACTCACTCCTGCCTCTGTCCTTCATTTCAAAGTTTTTTTTAATCGCACAAAATCATTTTTTTGTTGATTTTTTTTACTATGTGGTTCTGTTTTGGTACCACAGAAGCACTGCTAATAAAGCGTCTGTTATAACTCATAAAGTATTGCACAGCCCTAAACTGCTTCTTGAAGATAGGTTAATAATAAGAAACATTAACACATAAAGCATTTTCCAGCTTTGCCTGGTGAATTACACCTTCCCTTGAGTTTATGGCTTGTGTTATCTTTTACCAGAGCCTCTCGTAATGCAACCATCAGGACATGGGCTGTCCACGAGGGCCTCTCTCTAAAGGAGAGGTGATATGTTTTAATATCTCCCAACCCTCTGTGTAACTCCGTGACAAGACCCCTGTATTTCATCTTTTGTTTTGATGTCACTGGATGACAGAATAACTACCGCGTGAGAGATCGGTTTACTTTCCTGTCTTTGTGCTAAGGGAGCCTCGATCAGCGACATCGCCGCGGCTCAGTCCACTATCAGAGCCGTGAATGGCACTTCAGACATTCTAATCAATTTTGAAAAAAAAAAAAAAATGAAACTATTGATCACTTTAGGAGAGTAAGAAGAGTAAGAACACACACACACAAAATTTGAGTTTTTCTTATGAAGACAGTGAAAACAACTGGACTGGAAAGCTGAACATACCCATGGATGGAGTTAAGACGGAACGATAGAGGAGTTTTGGGGGGGAATCCCTGCTGCCACCTTGTGGACATTATAATGGTCAGCGATAGACCAGGGGAAGTCACACACATCTGAGTGTCATTTTTCTCCCTTCTATCTGCGGCCTCATCTCTCAGTATCTCACTGGTAACCCATCTCACTCACTCCTGGCAAAGTAAAGAGTGTTTAGAAAGAAAAAGGTATAGCGCTATAATTGAAAAGCTGAATAAAAAAGGTTTGAGGATGTGTACGGGATAAAATAAAACCGTAAAGAAAAGTGGAGTTTACATTTTTTACCTCCATCTGTTCGCCAATAAACTGAACATCCAAACGCCGTTTTTGTGCCGTTAGCTTACTTTTCTCAATCACTTCTATAGCCCTTATTCTTCTTCTCACTGTCTCATATCTTCTTTCAGTGAATTACAGACCGTATGCTAGCTACAATAATTGTCAAAGAAAAAAAACTATACAAAAAAAAAATACGCAGGTGATTAAATTCCCATTAAAATCTTGGCTGCTTCCATTTTTTATTGAAATGGCAAACGTCCACACTCTCGGAGAGCAAACTATCAAGCTGGTGGCTTAATTGCGCACGTGCAAACTTCTCCGTAAGGCGCTGGTTGTTAGCGTTAAGTGTTGCTTTTAAATATCCAGCTACACAAGAGGTCTAGCGGTGGGTTCGTGGGTTATCCTGACAACCTCGCTATCCCTCCGTGTTGCTGTGAAAGAATATCAAAGATCTGAAGCTCCCTTTGGATCAGAGAGAGCCAAGCTGTGTTACAGAGGCAGCTGTGTGTACATATGTTTACTGAGACAGTAAGACGTGGGTAAATACACCCAGCGGGCGTATACACAAAACTTGCGGCAAAACAAAAATACAGGAGGAGGATGTCTGCGAGCCTGAACACACATCCGCTTCACTGCCAATAGATTAAGTCACGTGTTTACTCAGGGAGGAATGAACAACAACTGTATATACAGTATGTAGAAAATGCACTGCACTAACACACAACAACAACAACAAAAAGAGGACGAAATAGTGGAAGGTTTCTTCAAACACAATGGGAGTGTCTGGTAATTGTTACCCTAGTGGCCAAAATTTGAAACACACTCCAATGCTACCAACCAGAAACATACAGACACATTCAGTAAGAGAGCCATTTTCAAAGCTGAGCTCTGACGGGTCACTAAAAATGATGAGACGGTCTGGATTTGATCAGCAGGCCTTATACGCCTCAACTATGCATTTTTATATTATCACATATTTATGGGCCTCTGCTTACCTTATTGTCACTACTCTATGTTTGACTTTGCATGAGCGTAATCTTCGTATCGTTACATAACCACGACACAGCAGTGGTTCCCAAATGGTTTTCTGCAGATGCTCTCTTTTGGAGCGCTCTGCAGAGCCCCAGTGAGGCAAATTAATTTCAAATTCAATAATTTCTTGAATTTTGTCAGTGGGAATGTTTCCCCGACTCTTTATTGTATTGTATCTGTTTAATTGGAAGCGCAGTTCTGTAGGATGAATAGAATTTCTAATAAAGTTCAGTTGAGACAACAGTCCTATCATCAAAACAAGGCCCCTGTAGAACAAACATTGCTCGTGTGTGAGGGGGGAGATTAACATGCTTGAACAGTCACGCTTAATTTGGAACTTTTTTTTTTTTTTTTTTTGCTTTTTCTTGAATAATCTTTATAAATTACTATGATCTGGTCTCAGACTTTTAAGTCAATTTTCACTTTATAAGCCACAATTAGCCCTGGTATTTTAGCAGATTATTATTATGATTGTTAGTATTATTATTATTATTTTTTTTCTCATAATAATTTAAATATTTTTTTATATATATTTTTTTTTGGTTTTCAAACTTGTTTTTGGCTGCATCTGGAATCACTTCTGCTTCAGTATAAATCACTCCCCACAAAGGTGTAAACCCGAGGATAGAGCACGTCTCTGTAGAATAGAGAGGTACTTTTCTTTGGTCAGGGTGTAGTCATTTCTGTTCAAGCGTCCATCTCCAGTCTTAACTATTGTCACCACAATGTTTCCCTGTCAGCGTGATACACTGCTGTGTGATTTTCCTGCCCGTTCTCCTCACATGCCGCCATAAATCTTAGATGCATCAAGACACGGGTGGGTTGTTTTGGGTTTTTTTTTTCTTCTCCTCACTCTTCACTGAAAAATGCTGGTATTTTTTTAGGCCATATCATGCAGTTGAACTTTGTTTCATTTTGTTTGAAGAAAGAAGTAACAAATTGGTACTGATCCCACCAATGTACTAGATTAAACCTTGGTAAAAATCTGTTGCACTGGGTCAGTCTAAAAAACAAGTTTAAACAAAGTTTACTTACTTACTTAGTAAGTGAACTCAGTGAACTCTTTTTGCTTCACTGAGAAGAATAACATACCTGGCCTCAGACACAGGGTATACAGTAGCTCTGGGCAACAGTACTAACTGTACCCTGCACAGACCTAAAGCAGTTAATATATGCTGCACTGACTTTGTGTTTTCCTGACCCTGATGCACAGAAACGCTCTCTCTCACACGCAAGTAGAAAATTATGGCATTGCAGTTTTTAGTGGAGATACATGTCTGACATTTTAGCTCTCCATATTTGATCAGATGAAACCACTCACTGGGGGTTCAACAACAGAGCCTCCCACATGACCAAACCTACAACCAGAGATGTGGCGTCCATGATAGGCCGTGATCACAGTATTTTTCTTAGGGTTAACTGGTGAAATACTACGGTACGATCAACATTCAAGCCCACCACAGGTCTTCCTCTGTAGCAAAGCTGCATCCCAGAACTGTTTTTTTGGGCAGAGTAGAGCAGTAGAATTGCCTCTCCCTACTCAAAAAACCATTTGATGCCCTTTACTCAAAACTGTACCATTCTTACAACACACTACAGTCTAGAGCCCTTCAGCTAGGAGTAACTTGACCAGATAAGACCGGCAAACTGCAGTAAAAAAAAAAAAACCCCTATTACAATTCATCCAAGAGGCTTTACCATTTACAAAACTGGTAAAGCCTAACCATCAGTCACAGATTCAAATGCCTTCTGTTTCAACACAGCTGTCCTGTAAAAGATTATGAACTAAATATGAATGAAATAAACTTGTGCAAAAATACACAGAAACCAATAACCCACTGTATCAGTGGGTAAAATCCCACAATACGACCATTAGCGCTACAAGCAATCATTTCTCAAAAATGAGTATAAAGACTGTTAATACCGCTGCCAACACACAGACATGCAGAATGCTAATATGTGTGTCTGCTAATCAGTTAAAGGTTGAGCCTGACAGCATGCCATATTGATTGGTGGAGTCCTCCACCCAGGCACCAGGGGACAGAAGGGATGTCAGGCAGGCTTTCTGTGTGAAACACTGCATATCAACACTTGTACCCTCGTCTCATTTGGACAGTTCATCAGTGCTGCTTTTTATCTCCGTCTTATCACAGCACACAGGCTCAGACTCATTTGTGAAAGGAAAACACAGCGTTGGACTTGTAGTTGTTTCTCTGCACTGCTTTCATGTCAGTTTGGAGACTATGAACATTTTGGTCCGATTTATATCGCAGATTGAGGTAGGTGTTGATAAATTTTACTTTGTACCATGTGTAATTAAGGTCAGTGTCAATGTCACAAAGATTATATGTAATGAAATGTGTTCTAGTTGCAGTTTACTCACAGTTTACCTCGTGGGCATAGAACCAGGGCCGGTTTAGGTGAACACAAGGCTAATACATCTGCAGAAATTTAAGAAACAGACACACACACTTTATCAACAGTTGAGTCTCCATTCTTAAGCCATCTGCTGCCACCTTGTGGAAAAATAAACACATGTTCTACCAGTTGCTGTTGTATAGCTAAACATAGCTCTATGACCTTTCCTGGTACACTAATGTGCTAATGTGAATGAAAAGCAAAATGAAAAACCTAAGAAAGCCAAGAGAGTCTTTTGGCTTAGATATACATTATTACGGACACCAAGGTATTTGAGAACCTTCAGCGATGACTTGCTTAACTTACTTTTAATGACTCTTTAAACGTCACACAAAATGCGCTTGTGTTATTCGAACATAAAAGTAGCAGATGTCACAGAAACAGGAAAAAGCCTATAAAAAGCCTTACAGCCACGCATTCGGCCTCTCCGCCTCTTATAGTGTGACAGACTTCAAAGCAGCGTAAGTGCCCATCTGCCTTGGTGTATCACCGTCTTCTAGCCTTGTGGTCCCCGCAGAGAGATAACCACGCGGAGCTCTAAACACTCCAGACAAACCCTTATCCCTCTGGCTTAATGTCCTTGCGGCTAAGGGTAATGCAGAGAGATGGATGGCTCCGACCTATCCCTCCCTGCCAGGGTCCCTGACTGTGAGATTGCATGCCTTATACTATCTTCCATCTCTGTCTGTGACAGCCAAACTCCCGCTCGCCCCCTCTCCTGCCTCCCACTGACCCTTCAGATCGATGCGACTCACTGATGTGCCGTCCGTCAAACCCATGGGCTAAGCAATACACCATCTACCCGTAACGAGTGATGTGTGCGAGACAGTGCATGAAATGGAGGCAACAAACACACACGTGCAAACACACACGCACGCCTGTATGCGCTCACCAGTTCCTGAAATGGATCCCTCAATCTGGTGCCAAACGATGAGCAGTTTTTCACAGGGTTGTGCCGTCTTTCTCTCTCTTCTTTCTTGCTCTCTTTCTTCTCTCTCCTCACACCCTTGACATGTCATGATCAAATGGGTGCTTTTGGAGTTCAGCAGTTGACCTGGAATCCTAGGGGCCGTGGCTCCATCACATCCCCTTCATCCAACTTCCTCGCTCCATTCTTCGGTCACCTGTCCATCATCTCTGCAATCTGGACTGAAACTTTCCAGAGAAGACAACAAGTGAAATACATCAAGTATAGTATCATTATTTTCATATCATCATGATGTCCACAAAACCCACAGAAGACGTGAATGGCTTAACGTGTAATGGTGGAATAAACTAGATAGCACAGAGATAGCACAGATTTGCTTTGGTCCAAGCAAAAATATCACTTTAACCTCCAGAATTGTACAGAATTACAAAAATCATGAATGCCTGCTTTATTTCCCACTGGATGCATTCATGGTGACAAGTGAGTCACGAGTGAGTGTGTGTTCCTGTAATTAATGATGTGATACAGATGCTAGACACTCAAATAAACTCAGCACCGCAGATGCTCGAAAAGACATGCCACGCTTATCGCCCCCCTTTGACTGTGGGTGGCTGTACACAGGAGGCGCTCGTTCACCGGTGTAAGAGTAGAGGACCGATATGAGCAATGAAACAGATATTTACTGTAAATCACGGCTTGCTGGGGGAACAATAAACATCACAAAAACAGCTGCCGTTTTAGTGCTGCCTACACGTCTGTTTTCATACTGAAGAGAAAGAGGCAGAAAACAAACGGAGAGGAGAGCGAGATCGGACAGTACAGTGAAGCTTTCCTCAGCACTGTATAAACACTGACCCATTATGTTCAACAGTACTGGAAATACTATAGCAGGAAGTAACTTGGTCAAACCTCAAGCTCAAACAAACATTATAATGCTCATACCCATATTTATAATTCATCAGAGCATGGATGATGAAACTATTTTTGAGGAAAGCAACATTTTTGTGTAAAAATAAAGTTATACCAGTGGATTTGAGCTTGAATTATAAAAATATTTAAATGTCAATGCTAAAATTACTAATCCAAGTAGACAGTGTGGCTGCAGACAGTTTCATCATAATGCAGGATTAACCAGCAAAGGTTAGGTCTGGTAAGTAAACATATCATTTAAAAACATTATATATATATATATAATCTATCATCATGAACTTTACTGATTTTCCACAATAAATGTGATCTACATTTATTCAGTGAGAATAATAAGAATAATCTCTTAAAGAATGACAGCTTATATGTGATTATAATCAATGCAAAATGACTTATTTTATGTTTATATATATTGTACTGTACCAACAAGGGAATAAAATGAGTCTCCAATCTTACATAATGTTTGTTGCTCATTTTCTCCTGTCACAATAAACATTGCTCTTAGTGTCAAAACAAATGATGGATTACAGTAGTGCACTTGAACAAGGACAACTAAAAAACTTCTCATCTTCTTATTCTTTTCATATTGTTAGTATTCAAATAAATGTTTATTTTGCACCATAAACTTTTTAGCATTAACTTTTAATGTTTTTACTTCATGCATTCACCGTGCTGTTTTGTGGTAAACGCAAGGCACTTTTTACAGAAATACACTACTACTAACACAAACAGTGACATGCAGGAATGCACCATGTTTGTTTACTCACCATGTTGGAATGAGGTTGCACAGTGTAGCACGTTTCCCTGTTTGTTTGTGCTCCATGGTTGCAGCTGCAGATGCTGTTTGATGTTAAAACACATTTTTACGGTTTTAAAAACTGTATTTTGTTTATTTTGCACAGACAAAACAGCGGAGTTCCGCCTGCTCACACTGTTTCAGGTCGGCGGCCTTCATCAACCAAACTCATTGCACCTGCTAGTCATTCAACAGGAAACTGCTTTGCATTGCAATACTGCCTTTGGTCACACAGGGTTTTGGCGCTGTTTCACACTTTCCAACAACAGTAAAAGCCTACAAATCAAGTGCGACTTTTTATCTATGTAAATAAAGACGCACAGAGAGAC